TTTTGAAGCTTAATTCTGTATACCTCTGTAACGCTTGAGGTCAGGTAAAGGTCTTTTCAAGCGTAAATTTTCTATTTTTGCTTCTAGTTTTGGCTTCATCCAGGTAAAATACTTTTTGCGTTTACTTTTTTGCCTATTAAGATGCAAACTCCTTTCTCTACGGCGGATCTATTTGCATTTTGTTTAGGTACTCTCTTAATGTTCATGTATTTTTTCCAAGAAATAAGTCAATAAAATCTTAAAAACGATACGTAGATGTGTAACTAAGCATCTAATTAACTAAATTTGGGTATCGATAAAAGTCTGTCATAACGTCCCTATTTTTAAAATAATATTAGTGAGATTTTCGATTCACGTATTTGTTGATAGAAAATTGAATGCCGCACCTAAAAAGTGCGCTTCGAAGAAATTATTAGGTGCGCTTGAAAATTGATCTGATTCGAGGAATACTTCATAAATCTAACTCAATCACCGACAACCTTCCAAAACCGTCAATACCAAATAAGCGGAATTATTTCCCGACCCTTGAAATTCCAATAAAATTAATGAAACTCCAGCTCATTAGCTTTCCCCGTCCGTTGCCCATATTCTGTTGGAAACTGTCCAAAGGGGACACTTTTTTCCGGGAAAATATCGTTTTATCACAACATAGCTGTTACTGTTTTGGGGTTGTCGACACACGGGATTTTAAACCGTTAAGAAACGATAACTGCTCGTAAACATAAAATGACTTTGGTAGCATTTAGTAGTTTTATAGACTGCGACCAAAACATTTCGATTTCTTAAAATTTTACTACCAGCAAAGAGTAACAACTAAAGTTCATTTTTGATTTGAGTAGGAGCTAAAAATTGTAAACTAAGACATTTGATAACTTCTACGGTATAATTTATTATTTAGTTACTGGGAAAGAAATACAACTTTTTTGGTATTAATTAACAATTAATGGAGAAAAAACTTTACTCCAATTTGAATTCGAAAGTAGAAAGTGAATTTTTAATTCAAATAATTTATGTCCTATCCAAAACTAAGTTTGTACAGTTTAAAGCTCTATTTTCTTAGACCACCAAACCCACAATAACAAATTATTGCCCAACAATCCCGACTTCACGACCATAATCTCAAATAAGAAACGGGCGCGCGCACATTACTGTCTCGTGTGTCCTCGTTTATATTGTATGGCAACACTAGCCCCATTTGTTCAGCGAGTATGGCAACACTAGAATGGGGATTTTTCTCATGAGGGTAGTGTTTATTGGAGACATAGACGCTTATGGGACCGATTCTAGGCTAAGTATAGTCTAGATTGACTGTATAATGTAATATTGACAATTATAGAGGAACTTGTTATTTTTAGGGAACAATGAAATCTAGGACGTCCATTCGGTTCAGAACACACAGTGAAACGCAACTGCAAAGAAACTGCAACATCTAGTTACTTTTGAGTTGCATCTAAGTTTCTGCCATAGATTCCGTTGAGAGACCACACATGACGCGACCAGTTTGACCAGTTCAAAGCGTTTCACCGTGTGTTCTGGTCCTTACACCCACCTGCACTCGAAGATTCGTAGGCAAATATTCCAGCCTATTTTTCATTGAAATTGAATGAAATCTGATTGGTTATTCAAAACATTTAATTTCTCCGCTCAGCCTTGGTAGACATCGGGCCTTAGGCTCTAATATTCCTTCTTACTATAAATACGTCACAAAAAAAAAGGTTTTACCTTGTATTCTTTTAGCAACAATTTCCTAGTTTTCCTTACACAATTTTTCGTAGTTTGGAAATACAATTTCCACGTATCCCTTACTATCCACTATACAAAGAAATTCAAGAGTACATAATTACAGACAGCAATTCAAGCTAAATTCTGTAACCCTTTATTATCGTTGTAATAGGTACCATTTTACACCAAAAATGTGTACTCTGAGGGCTAAGTGCGAGTTTACATCAAATGTCGTCACTAGTGAACGCGGTAAAAAATATATGAACATTCTTCGTTCTTCGGTCTTGAATATTTCCGCTAGGGGCGTTGTACAATCCGTCATACATTTAATGTCATTTTATTACGCGCTCACTAGTGACGACATTTGCTGTAAATTTAGGGCTCTTGTATGATCCATTTAGCTGTAGTGGTTCTATAAAAGCTTTAGTAAAGGGTTAATTAAAAATTCGGTTTTTAAGCGCTGGAAGCCAGAGAGAGGCTTGACGTAGCGCTTTAAAATATGAACGTGTGTGACTGTAGTTTAGTTTTAGCATAATATCATTAAATTTTAACATGCTGCTATAGAATTTGTGGGCTGAACTTGTTTATCATAGATATTAAGACTAGAATCTTACGCTTTTTAATTCAGAAGTAGGTATACTTAATAAATTATTTTTGTGTATTTTTACTACTAATAAAACACAAAAGCGACGCAAGTTTCTACTCAACAATAACATTTCATAGGTATTTTTTTTAAATCTCCACTAAGTCCGGGAAAAAGCAATAATAGTTATTTTGATGAAAGGTTCTATAGCAATAAGAAGTACGGACGCATCCAGGAGGAAATAAGTCAACAAAGTACATTTTTCTAGTTTCCTCTCTCTGTGGTTGGCACCAAGTTTAGTTAGAGAGTAGATTAGTGATGTGCGCAGGTGAAGAAAATTCTGTTATCGATATTTAGAATTTAATGTGGAAAATAAATACTAACTTTTATACCTTACGGCATTAATTTTGTGGTTTATAATTTTCTAAATAAAGATATAAACATTTTACAGGTATGTATTTTATACATTGCATAAAGTTGTAATTACTTAGTGCTATTTTTCAATGAGAATGTACAACAAGTGATATTAATTTCTACAAATTGACAGTCATAATCGTGTGTACACAAACAACTTGTGACCAAACAAAATTATTGGTAAACCAAATAAATAAATAAACTTATATTGACAGGCGAGTCAAATTTTATCGAAACATCGCATTCACGTACTGTGTATGCCAGAGTTATATGACAGCCATATCTTTGAAAGTACTTTATGTATCTTTTTATGTAAAACTCAGTGGTTCAGATCAAACTGTCTGGTCTCTTTGAAACTGAGCATTCGAAACGGATCGTCTCAATACTTTTGTCTATTGAAGTGGAAATGAGTCTTTATTAAACACTAGCTGACCCGGCGAACTTTGTTCCGCCTTAATGGCAATAAATAAGCACTTTTTTTTATTTCGAACGGGATAAAAAGTATCCTATGTCCTTCTCCTGGCTCTAAACTACCTCCCTGACAATTTTCAGCTAAATCGGTTCAGCCGTTCTTGAGTTATAAGTGGAGTAACTAACACGACTTTCTTTTATATATGTATATAGATTATAAACACGAAAATTTGAGAGGATTTATTTGAGGACATTATACCCTAACGATAGCATTTAAAAGTACAATTTAGGCTCCTCCTTTCTAAAAATACGAAAAAGCAAACCACCTATTTTAAACTATAGTAAATTGGTACTTTCAGGTTGGATTGCACCATCTTACTTCAACTTTATCAAACTTCAAAATGCTGTCAAACTCCATACAAAAACACCGGATATTGTTACAGTTACTGTTAAAGTAAGATGGTGTAACTCAGCTAATACTCCAACTTGTAACAAAATAAAGAAGAAACTTACTTAATTTAAAATTTAACTGGTGACCTGCCCGTCTCTCAGACACCGCGTTTCGTTTTTTTTTATTTATCTCCCCGCCTTTTTGTCGCTTCTCCCCGTGCGTTTTGGTACCTTCCGCGTTTGCCATACACCTTCGGTCAGTAGGAGGTGCACGAGCTCAGGGTCTTCTGTATTATCTTGTATCTTGTATCTCTATCTTGAATTATTTGGACAACTATATAAGTTACTAAATTCTTGGCCTCAAACTTATTTTACGTTAGCCAATTTTTTTGTACATTAGTTTTTCTTTGACGTCTCTTAAACGTCACCTCACCAAATACGCACTGTTGACTTCAGGTCACCAGTTAAAGGTATGCTACATGCTAAGTGATGGACTTTAATTTGTTACATTTTTGTTGAAGTTAAAAAATACGTCATAATCATCTTTTGCTAAACATAACAAACATCACATGGCTAAACAACAAAAAACATTAGATCAATTTGAAACTTTTGGACATCGACAATTTTGACAATTTCGAAACCTTTCAGCACATCACTATGTTTAGTTACGAAGCAAATGTACCGGGAGGGAACTAAATATTTAGTGCCACAATAAACACTCATTCGCTCGGTCCATTTCTTTTTAACTTTACTTCCCTGTTGTATTCCAAATATTAAAGGAAATGAAGTGCTCTCTTCAAAAGTTTTAAAGTATTTTATTTAGCATAGTAAATAATACGATAACTACGTGTAGACTAAATCCTCCATTTTCCTCAGGTAGTGGGCAAGCTGATGATGATGATGATAAACAAAGAAAAATCTCTATCTTGAATTATAACTTTGTACTAATATAAAATATCTTAAACGCCTATTTGCAGAAAATAATTGGATAATCTATAAAAATAGGCTAAACAATAAAAAACAAATTGGTATAAGAATTTCTTGTATAACTTGAATTTATGAAGCATGATCAGGCGTTGAACACTCTTGTTTAAACTGACATTTAGGCTGATTTGCACCATCTTACTTTGACTTTAACAAACGTCAAAACTCTGGCAAGCTTCATACAAAAAACACCGGTTATTGTTATAGTTACTGCTAAAATAAGTTGGTGCAACTCAGCCTTAGACTTGGCGCAGACCACCGATTTTTAGTTGGCCGATAGTTGTGCCCGATTTTAAATTGTATGAAGAATCGGCCAAATCAAATCGGTGTAATGTGCGCACTCCCATACATGCCCATACTAATCAACTGCTCGCCTAAACTATCGGTAAATTTTAACCACGACGTGTAATGTATGTTTAAGTTTTTTGTAATGGCTGATTTCACGTGGTGTCTAAAAGAACCGTTATACAGAAGGTGTTTACACTGAAGCACTTACCATTTTATCCACCGATGTAAATGACAATCTGCAACAATAAAACAAACACTTAATTCCGTACATAAAACCAATAGCAATAGGCCGTAAAAGGCCCCATGAAAATTGCTATCATTCGTTATCATCATAATAAAGCAATAAATAACGCCAGTTTACGAGTGTGTCCTTATTTTAGAACCACGATTGTTTCCAAGACGTGATCGTGCAAGTAAATGTAATTGGTTAATTTGGATGTGGCACAGTAAAAGAAAGCGTCTCCATACGAAAGAAACACTGTCGGTGTAGGGTGAAAATATTGGCACGCGCACCGACGATCGCAAAACGGCTAGAGTTCCTTCTGTACTCGCCACTCTGCCCGGTGAAGCTGGAAAAGCTCTTAAAGGTACCAGCGCGCGTCCCTTAAAAAAAAGGTATCTAAACGTTGAATTCAAAGTCAAAATGTGATTATTTGCAGAGATTATTCACATAGTTAAGTATTTACAAATCGTCAAATATTTAAAGAAAAAAATAAAAGACTAATAAAAATAAAGTTTTACTCTTACATGTCTCTAACACCCGTATTCATAAACGATACTTGCTTAAGTAAAGCAGAAAATCGAACGCTCAGCAATGAATAGAGCTCTGTGATTGGTTCGTGTGTGACCCTGTGCGTCCACGCGCACTGTGAGACCTCATAGTAATGTTTGTGAATAAGGGCGTAAGTCTACCCTACTTACCAGCGCTTCGAGACCAATATTGGGCAAGTGCTTAGAAAAAGCGAGTTTTACGTGCTTAAGTTAAGAGGTTTTGTATTAGATAAGTTTGATTTTTCGAAAACATTTTGATGATCAATCAAGCTTGCTCCATTCCCCTACTGTTACATGTTTTACTAACTTTATAGCATAGCCATGGTGATTCTAGGTATACATATAGAGCAGATACACTGGGCCCTGGTTGCGGTCTCAAGATTGGATGAACGTCCCCGTTTCTGGAATAGTGCATGTCACAGCAGGCACTGATGCCTTAGTGTAGAATATGTAAAGATATGCTACATTATATGTTACCAAGCAATATAAATATGGTGTGTTTAGAAACTTATTGGACACAGACTGCAATATGGAATAATAAAAAATAACAGCGAAACATGACCGTCTTTAGTCACGTCGTTTTCGGGTAAAAAAACTATAGTTTGACTAATGGCACAGATGCTAATGGTAACAACTGCTCAGCAAAGATTTAGAAAAATTAAGGAAGAAGGGAGAATATCAGTCAGTATTAAACAAAAAAACTTAAGAAAATAAGCTAAAGTAGCCCGTAACATGACGCTCAAGGATGACTACAGTCCAGCTTCGATTCAAGTCTGTGTGATTGGACTAAACTTCTAAAATTCAACGAATCGAACCCAGAAGTTCCAAATCGAAAGAATCCAACTCTCTAAACCACTGAATCGCAACGGCGTTAACTTAAACTGGAGTTTGTTAAACCAAAGTCCTTAAATTAGACACATGTTACAAAATAACACTGATAATACTAATTTTCGGGAAATGAATCCAAACCCAAATGGGGAAGGGTATAAAAACACTTCTAAAACATTCAAGGATCCAAAGCGTATCCAATATAACTGAAAAATAAATGACATGCAATTTTATTCCGTCTCATCAAAGGATTCGTCGCAAAAAGCGTCCACAACCGCATAGCATGTCTGCAAAAAACTTGTAATTCAAATCCCGTGAAGGGAAAATTTAAACTCGAAAGGACGATGCTAAAGGTTGGGGCTTTGCGGTAGCGATACGAAAATTTTTATTAAATTTTTTAAATATTTTAAAATTAAACGTAAGAATTTTTTTGTTCAAAAGATCAAACATTTTATTAAAATTGTAGCATAGTCTTTAGTGTCGCTACCAACCAAACTTTTTTTCACGAAAGACTATGTACGTATGCTACAATTTTAATAAAATGTTTAAAGTTTTTGAACCTAACAAAATATTATCAGTCACAAGTTTGATAAATGTTACCTCTCCTAGATAACTGTAAACCCAAAAAACTTATGTTTACCTTCTCATAAAAAAATTGAGTTAGAAGTTTGTATTTCTTTTTATTAATTGTTGACAGAGTCACCGAGTCACAGACTCACAGAGTCACAGAGTCGTATTGTGGCTGTATAACGATTATAAGATTAATGGTCTCAAATATCTACCCACGTTCATAATCTCTTTATCTTATTTCAAAGTGTCTTGGATCAGTTGTTGAAGAGTAGTTTTCATTAATAAACTTACACTACAAATCATCCTTTAGATTAAATCACGACCAACATCGTACCATTCCTGTTAACAGTCTCAAATTAAGACATCTCTCATCTGGCACCGTTTCCCAAAGCACAATTTGTATAATTTATCGTTATAACGTAGCTGCGTAGGGTAGCGACCCCGTTTGTGGCGAATGTAACTTTTTTGGTCATTTAAGGTAGAAATGAGTATAAAAAATTCTTTATTTTTTTTAAATTAATAGAGCAGTCATCCGGCAAGCGGAGGGTTATGAGTTCGATTCCCACCTTAAGTAGTTCGATTTTTTCAAGTTATTAAAAATAAATAAAACGGAAAAGCATAACAAAAAATAAAGTCGCTCCCGCTATCTGCACGCTTGCATAGTTTAAGCTACGCAACAAATTTCAACGGATTCTATAGGAAGCCAGAGCAGGTTGCCAGTTTAAAAATTAATTTTTAATTTTTAACGCTCTACATTATTATTTAAAAGAGTGTCCAAAAGCGATGCATAGATGTCCAAAACCGGCACTTCCACCCTACCATCCACGCCACCGCAAAACCCCGGCCTTATACCGCAATGCGTAGAGAGTTGTGAAAACCCGACAAAATATATCGTACGTTATCAGACTCGGGGGAACAGTCCATTTATATTGTTATACGGAACCACTATTGACTCTTAAAATATTACGGTTAAGGTTCCGTTTTATTTAATTGCTCATTTGAACGTGGAAAGGCAATTTGGTTACATACACGCGTCATAATAAATGGAGTTCGTGATAATGAAATGTAAAGACGTCGAGTTAATATGGCGGCACATAAAAAAGACAAATGGCATTACTTGGTCTAATGGACTTAGTTTTTATTAGGTCAACTTCGGTTTTAGCAAAACATCTTTTTACTAATGTAAAATAAGAGCCAAGTTTGTCCCTAAATACTACTTACATGCTGACTTGGGATTCTCAATAAAATAATATAAGTTAGGTACCATCAGGTAGGGTTTCTTGGATAGCTCAAACTTGGCGAGCAAGTGTGGTTATGTTCCCTAGTCAATGAAGCACATGATGTCGTGCTCTCGTGCCCAAACAACTGCACGCAGGAAGATTTAATGAATGCTACTGACAACGCCTCTCTTGTAGCGGAGTTTTGGCTGACACTGTGTAGGTTTGTTGTCGACACGACAAGAAGAAGGTAGGGTAAACCGTATAGCTATTGCCCACTTAATGATTTCAAACACATTGAGATGAAAAATTAAAGAAAGTATTTTAATAATCGACCATTTATGACTTTNGTGAGTCTTTTCTTATGGATTTCCTCTAATTTATTAATTATGCACGAGCGTGCGTATAGTGCACTTAGTCCTAGCACGCACGATAGTGCGGGTACTTTTCTGAAAAATTGGAAAGTCGGAAAATTTTTATATTATTTTTCTTGTCTTCCTTATGGACCAAATGTTACATAAAATCCGAAAAAACATAAATTATGTGGAAAAAAAATTTCAGGTCTGAAAGGGATACAAAATGGAACTGACTCCTATATAACGAAGTTAATTTTTTTAGTAACGGTTTAACGATTAACGAAATTAAATATTTGATTAACGGTGCCCAGCTATGGAGGTGACCAAGGGTCAAGTATGCGAACGTCAGGCCTTTTTAACCCAGGTCAGCATGAAAACTGTAGGCTAAATCCTCCCTATTGTTCCTTTAGCTTTACTTAACGGAGACGTCATTAAAGGCGACTAAGGGATAACTAGGCGAATATCAGGCCTCACCAATCCGTCTAGCCAGCGTGGGGACTATAGACTCAATCAATCAATTTACCTCTAGCAAACTAGAAAGGGTTCGTCCTCCTATATTGAACACTATACAGGGTGTTAGGTAAATGGGTATATGAGCCGACACTAGCCCATGTTAACATGGTCATATAAATGGTATGGTGAAGTCAGAAAATTGATATCTACATTTTAATTATTTTAATTTTCATACAAATCGGATTTTATAAAATTTATTTTGTATGAAAATTAAAAAAATTAAAATGATGATNGTGAAGTCAGAAAATTGATATCTACATTTTAATTATTTTAATTTTCATACAAATCGGATTTTATAAAATTTATTTTGTATGAAAATTAAAAAAATTAAAATGATGATATCAAATTTCTGACTTCACCATACCATTTATATGACCATGTTAACATGGGCTAGTGTCGGCTCATATACCCATTTACCTAACACCCTGTATAAATGATAATGATCAACAGCTAAACGTGCAGGACGTCATTTGGCTGAAATGAACGAATGAACGAAACGTGCAGCTTAAGACCCAAAGCACACGATGAAATCTTTGCGGTATAGCGGCGAAACGCATCGTGTACTTTGACTTTACAACATATTTTCTACTTACCAGGTCTTCACGTGACATACAACGTGTCAAAACCGGAGGGGCAGCGGGTGACGTCGGTGACAATCGGCAACAGTGGCGGTGGAATTGACAGCGAGAAGTTCTACCAAGTTACAGCACCAGCTTACCTGGCTGGTGGAGGGGATGGATATACGGTAAGGATTTAAAGTTTTTATATGTCTACATATTTTATAATCCACTAATGTACAACAAGGCTGCAATGCGGGAGGGATGGCGACGGATTGTAAAGCTTGCCACCAACCCAGGTGTGACAAGGCAAGAGTGTAGCGACAAAGAAGAAGAGATAATGGGGCAGCTCTTTGCCTGCATCTCACCCGATGAAAAATGATGAGTAGGCCCAAGGTTGAAGCGACATCACCTGTAATCCTCAACCATAGTGAAACTGGCTGTCCTTTGTTCTTTTGATTAATTTCGTTGCGGGTCCAATGACAGTTTAACTTTCCACCGAGACAAACTTGACCTTCAATGGTTGGGTTTTTATTGGTGGTCAAGCTGTGGGTGGGAACTAGAGTTAGGAAGAGTCCCGTTTAGTAGCTAATTAAGTCTTAGTAGTTTTATTTAAAAGAGTCGCTCCAGAGTAGTTTAGTAACAAGATTCTTCTTTTTACAGATGTTCAAAGAAAACAAGAAGAACGTGCAAGTGATAGGAAGAGACCAGAAGATATTTGAGACGTACATCAGGAAGAATTCGCCGCTACACGTAGTCACTGATGGAAGAATTAAAATTATAGAAGACTAATAGTTTTAGTGATTTTAAATAAGATTTGTTAGGCACATCATACTTGATGTTATTTTTGTGTTTTGTTATGATTTTTTTTCATAATACAACCGCCAAATGCCATGGGTGCTATTTTTATTTATGCATTTTATGTCCTCGATTCAATATTGTAGTAAAATAAATGTTTCTTTCTCGGCCTCTCGCGACACATACTAGGTATCTAAATTCTATTGAACATGAAAAGTCCTGAAATGGTGTACCTGTGTAAGGCATGAGAAGGCAGGTAGTCAATAGACACACTAGTCTCTTCGAATACTGGATCAAATCTAGACGAACTTCTGGACAAAGATTGAAGATAAGACACACACACAATGGACAAATAGGTACGAAAAAGAGACTAGCTCTAACTTGCCTACTGACAATAAAATATTCAGAGTTCCTGTAACACTTGTTTAATTTTACCTACCCACTAATAAATATGAATGAAAACAAAACCATCTAAATCGTCCTCAAAGTAGGTACGAAAATATCTTTAGAATTTAATTTAGGTTGACCTAAAGTAGGTAATTAGCTGCGGCCATACATTTTTATCCAAGTCAATAGGTTCCCCAATGCCTCAAGAAAGTATAGTAGACTACCTACTACTACTAGTAGTAGTGTAGGACGTCCCCCTGCTTAATAGGTACCTTCACTAAAGAAATACCTCAAGAAGATAGCTCTCGTGCACAAAAAACAAAGAAAATAAATAAAAAATGTATTACAAATAATGCGGAAATACTAATCTCGTTGTTACGGCATTTGATAACAATATCAAAAGTAGTGTCGACTGTGAACGTGACATTCACATGATGCACTTATCTGGGAGATAGGTAAACTATTCGAGAGTTTCAAGTGCACTCAAAATATTGTACGCTACATCTAAAACAACTAACTTAAATTTTGTACGCAACAACTAATTTACAGATAAGTTATGGAAATGCAATATTTTAGTTAGATTAATCGAACTTCGGCAAGTAAATACTAATATTCAAGATTGTAAAGTTCTGCGTACTATGTGCCCTGCCCATTGCCACTTCAGCTTGCTAATCCGTCGGGCTATGTCAGCGACTTTAGTTCGTTTACGGATTTCCTCATTTCTGATTCGATATCGCAAAGAAACACCAAGCATAGCCCTCTCCATAGCACGCTGTGCAACAGGACGCAGGCCGCTACCAATCGATCAACGTGGAAAGCATTGGGGGAGGCCTATGTTCAGCAGTGGACGTCCTATGGCTGAAATGATGATGATGATGATGATGAAGATTGTAAAGGCTACTAGGAATGTTCGCCTGTAATGTAACAGTTATTTAATTGAGCATACTATAGTGAGGAAAGAGAACCTTAGTTAATATGTATGAGTGCAGTCCGGAACTGGAGTAATTGGTAATGCTTATGGTTAATATTTTAAAATTAAACAGCGTAAAAATATGTACATTAATTCTGGTATCTTTCGTGCTCTATTTCTAAACGTGCAACTACAATTTTTGTGACAAATTGGATAAAAATAAGTTATAAAATAAACTAAATTAGCCGGTATAGGACAAGCTATATTCGGACGTGTATAAGTGCCCTGAAAATGGCCGACATATTTACAATTCTAGAATTTAAATTTGAATTTATAATCTCATTCGTTACATTAAAAACAACAAACAAAATTTAATATTTCTTAGATACTAACAGAAGCTATGAAACCAAACCAATAGTAAATGAAGAAAATAATATTGACGTTATAAGTGGCCTGTGATGAAATATGTCTGGAGACCACTTCGCGCCGGCCAGTGCATTTTATTGCAGACCATAAATAAAGATCCTCTTCTCTACGTTATTACTACGTTTACTGGATATTGGGAAGTTTATATTGTATGGAAGGAGCTTTGTTCTTTAATGGTTTGAATAAATGTGCCAGTTATGGCACCTCTACCAAAATCAAGATTGCAAAAAGATCATGTTTGCTCTAAACCTTGAAAGGTATGGGACTTATGCCCATCTTTCGTTCTTATCGTTGCAACCCCTAGAGGATCTACTCTTACAAGGCCAATTTTATTAATAGTTTATCCAAAGGAAAAGTTTGATCATTGGACTCTGGTCCAAGAAATTTAAAATTTGAATTTATGATGTATCGTTTAGTTTATTTTTCGTCTGAGTTATGCATCTTAGTCCATTTATTTAATAAGGAATAAGTCGCTAAGTTATAAATGGTCAGCTCAGTATTTTGTATGGATATAAGGAGCATGCTAGAGCATGTATTTTTTCCCAAAACAAAACACGGGTGAAGGCAAGGCGTCGAATATGGCACAAATTTTCCCTCTCATTAGTCGCGGGCTCTTCCATTTGGGCCCATTTACGTGATGGCACATTGGCACCTTTGTTTGCGTATGTCACCGTAGAGGCACAACCAGTAAGGTTGCTCTTATGCTGAAATTGTAACCGTATCATTTCCATACAGGTAGGTTACCTTTAGGGATAGTTAGGGAGCACGCAGTTACCTTTAAATTGCACTAAGGTGCCCCTGTGATTTTCAGAATTTTGTAAAAGAGCAGAAGGTATAGAAATACTGTTCTACTTAACTATCTTGTATAGTTAGGCCTAGTTTAGCAATAATCGAGTGACATCACATATCATTTCCACCTAGATTTCCAAGATATCCAAAAATGGTTACTGATCTTGAAAGTGCCTCACGAGCTCTATCAAACAGTGTTAATAATACTAAATAGATTACAGAATAAACTGGATCTATCCAAAAATTCAATGTTTCCGGCTTCCATACATTTAGTGCAGTTGTGAAGTGAGCCTAAGCCTACTGCCTGCCCTCAAATTTACATGCCTATATGGAACAGTGGAATCACCTTTTCACCCCAGCTTTTTAGGGAAAGAAATATTTTGCAACGCCTTTCCATCTGACAAGGCTGTACCTGATGTGGCGTCTCGTAATGACGGGCTTTTTTATCACAAAAACCCAAAAAACATAGTTGTTTGGATTAAATATTTAGACCTATCTACATGCCTATTGCATGTACAAAATCTAGCAGGGGAGACCAAGGTGCGTTGTAACAGAGAGGTGTTGTGACATTGTTGTTGGAACTTATTAACTAGCGAGCTCGTAACAGTGCGCGTTTTTTAACCTCGAGCTAACAAATGCACTCTTGCGAGCTCGCTGCTGGTTAATGTCCAATAATCGACAACGTCACAACTCTCCTCTGTTACAACTCACCCCGGTCTCCCCTACAATATCTTGAGATTGGGGACGGAAGGAGACGGATGGAACTGGCAATATGAATAACCTGATACTTACAAGGGTGATGTAATCTTTGCTGTTGAGATTTCGCTTGATAAGCAGGATTCAATGGCTCTCAAGTCTGTGCGAAATAGAATTTTAAATGAAGGTTCTTTTTATACTAGCTTAACCGCGGATTTCGGTCTAATAGTAAGACTTTAGTGTGTATGTATCCACTGATGAAAAGCACTTTATTCAGGTATTACCAAAAACCTTAGCAAAAGCATGAAAATGAGGTTTTATTTGTCCTCAGATATGCAAATAGATATGGGCGAATAAAAACTTTCATTAGGTAGAGCGCTGAGGTTTCCGGCTACTGGGACCGCGGTTCCAGTCACTGGATCCATAAAAATTAAATATTTGTCTTCCAGCGACTGTGTCCACTCATAGATAACTTAAAAAAATAAATTATTCAAGCCAAAATCGGTACAGTACTAAATGAGTGGTCCCAGTCGCTGGAAGAAAATTATTTAATTTTTACGGATCCGGCGATTGGGAATGCGGTCCTAGTTAATTGCGGTCCCAGTCGCCGGAAACCTCAAGCGGTTAGGAAAAATGTGTAACTGACAGTAGAGATATTAGGTAGGTACTTTCGCATTTATAATATTAGCGGGGATTTAATAATGTATAAAAACTTTCAAATTAGTTAGAGCGGTTAGGGAAAATGTGTAACTGATAGTAGAGTTAGTAGGTACTTTAGCATTTATAATATTAGCCGAGATTTATTCATGTAGACATGAGTAAAATATGTGTACCTAGTGTGAGTCCAGAATAAGTATGATTATATTTTAATACAGATACCCTATAAAATTAATAATCTTTTTCATAAAAAGCCGAGCGACTCTAGGGATAATTATAAAATCTTTACGACTAGTAGAGCGTTAATTAATTTTAATTCTCACGTGCACATCAAGTTTATGATGAGCCGAATCTCGTAAAGCATCACACACGCCTCCAAAATTTAATTACATAGTGCAATAAAGAAAGGTTTTTATTGCTACTGGCGACTGGATGAGAACGATATTTTTCGTGTCTGAATGTTATATGACCAGAGTTTTATGTTCCCGAGACACTAGGCAGTTCAAGTAATATAGGCCAGTATTCACAAACATTACTGTGAGGTCTCACAGTGCGCGTGGACGCACAGGGTGACACATGCACCAATCACAGAGCACTATTCAACGCTGTGCGTTCGATTTGCTGCTTCACTTAAGCAAGCATCGTTTGTGAATACGGGCGATAGAGACTCTGCTCTACGTGTCATTGAGCCACTGTGCATTGGTAGAAATGTGTCATCTACATCATCATTTCAGCCATAGGACGTCCACTGTTGAACATAGGCCTCCTCTAATGATTTACATAATGACCGGTTGGTAGCGGCCTGCATCTGCCGCCTTCCTGCTACATTTATGAGGTCGTCGATCCACCTTGTGGGTGGACGTCCTACGCTGCGCTTTACAGTAGCCTAAATGGAACTCAAAATTTGTTGGGTCAACTCAGTAACTCAGCACCAGGGAGCTCCTTGAGCCGACATAGAGTAGCAAAATAAAAGTAAATTAATTAAGTTAAATAACATTGATTTCGGATACATTACATCCTCTAATCTGTATGGGCTGCGCAAATAATGACTTTTCTTTCTTTTCTGGAACACAAACTCAAATGTTTACCTATTGGAATATTCAGCAACTTCAATTAAGTTAGGGGCGACATCAGAACAAACTTAACATTGACATCACTATGCAGTTGAAAGGTGAAGTTGTGATTGAAAGGTCATGGTGAGATTTAAGGTAAGGTGCAAAAAACGCCAGTCTGATGTTTTGTCGACATTGAAAGTCTATTAATAAATAAATATCCTTATACATTTTACACTGCGCCTCTAGTCCCAAACTAAGCAAATACTATGGGTACTAGACAACGGATAACATACTTAAATACTTTTTTTTAAATACGTATACATAATAAACAGAAAACACCCTGTCCAATACAAACAAATAATATGTTCATGCACACAAATGTTTGTACTGAGCGGGAATCGAACCCGCGACCTCTCGGCATCAATCCGTCCGTATCGAACCACTATACACCAATAGTCGACCTATTATCTTCTGCTATTTACAGACTAATGGAGAATG